GGTTTGAAAAAATTGGTATCGTTGCATCCCTAGCTCTGACAATGAATTCAAAGAGATAATAATTTAAAAAGAAACCCTTATTTGTGGACACATTGTAAAATGTTTAAAATGTATTGATTTTTATTTTATTTTTTTAAATATTGTCACTTTATATCAACCACCTTCTGAGCCTCTTGCAAGTTGTATTATCATCTTTTTTTTCCCAGCAGGCTTTGCTCTGCAGGCGTACCGTGGCGCTCAGAAGCCGACCCCGATGGAGGTGATGAAGACGCAGGCTCGACTGGCCGACGGCGCTTCCATTCAGAAGGTGTCTCCACCCATAATGGAGATTCCCACGGTGGAGGGACGGCGGCATGGAACCCGAACGCACAAGCTCAAACCCAGAGATATGAACATCCTGACGCCCTCCGGCTTCTGAGAACGCAAGCTGCCTGACGCGCCGACCACAGGTCCCATGAAATGATGACGTCCTCGTGCTTAGTTCAGTGTATTCCAGTTCTTCTTTTTTTTCTTTTTTAAGTCCAAATCTCTTCAAATGTTACCGTGTTTAGGTCATTAACGCCCTCAATTTGAGGTCCGGTTACTCTTCCAAATATAAATCCAACAGATTTTGCACTGCCTAAACAGTCCTGTATAAGTTTCTGTCGTTAAGTTATAATTTAACCCACCAAGTAACTACCTTGGATCTGCGAGTGCAACGCTATTTGCCACACAGGAGTTAGATGGAGAACGTTGTAAACAAACCTCCACTTAGTCTAATTTAGGTGGCAGGGTGGCTGAGCTGTAAGCTAAGCACCCGAACTGACGGTCAAACATCACAATTTACAGACAGACCTCCTAATCAGCTTTGACCTACAGTAATTACTGCAATAATCCCGTTTTTGGTCAGTTAATCCAAGCTTGTGGTTTTGCCTCAAAATAAAAGTGGACCAGTAAATCTGACTGACTAACTGACTGATTATCATCTGACCTGCCAGACAAGAACTCTTACAATCATGTTTCAATTTAGATCTTTTTTTTTCCCCCACGTTATCCAAAGGCTTAAATTATGCTGGTAATGACTTGTCCCATTCCTCCATAGATTTGGGGGTGAGCAGCTTTATGTAAATATTTTTGAAATATCAACTGTGGAACTTAAACTATTTCATGGGACCTTTTAACAGCAGCTCTAACCACTTAAGATAACCACTGTGCTGTCCACCATCTTTCCCATTTAAAAACAAACGTGGTTATATACATTTATAAAACAAAAAAGAAAACCGTGATGCATATTCAGTGTTTCTTGGATGTAAAATCAAACGCATTGACCAACCAGGTCAGCATGAATCACCCCACAATGAAGTGAAGAGCTTATGTTGGTGAAGCTGAAACTGAAGATATAAGTATCATATACTAACGCACTTTATCCTCATCATAACGTCTAACTCGACCCCAGACCCTCTGCTGTCACGCAGCCCTCCAGGGTAACGATGCTAAAGCTTCCTCTGATATGTTCTGCCTGTCACTAAAATATTTTTCTTCCATTTTGGGATGAATAAATACTAAATTTCTCGGGTGCAGTATCAGTATCAGACAACATAAACAGACGATTCTCTAATTATATTGTAACAAGTTTTGTCTCAGGAAAATTGTC